GTCTGCCTTAAAATCAAGCCAAGCTCCAGACTGCTTCAAACCAGCCTCGGTAAACTGGCGTTGTGCAGGAAGCGGTTCTTAAGAAGAGAACACAAGGGCAACTTCAAAGAACCAGAGGACAATGGAGTCTCCGATCGCTACACGTGGCGAGAAACATGTTAATCGTCCAGGCAAGGTGTAGCAAATAAGTAAGTGACTAATCAACAGCCACCTGAAACCCACCCCACTGTCTCCAAGCTTGTTCAGTCACGTGTCAATAAACCCTCTGGCACAGCGCAAAACTGAACCGACCTGCTCGGCAGCTGCATTTCAATCACCAAAAGCTCCACCCTGAAAACTGCCAAAGGCCACCAAAACATTTCAGGCGCTGGGTCAAACACCAGCTCACGTGATGAGACTCCAGAGGTACAGAGTACTTTGTGTTCTGGGGTTTGGCGTTGGCGTGCCTGTCCGTGGGGATCGGAGACCGACAGCCCTGCCTCGCCGGCGAGGAATGAGCCAGGGAGGCAGCCGCCAGGGTGAAGATGGGGTGGAGGAAAGATCAAGGCCAGGGGGCAGGGGGCAGGGGGAGGGGGGCTAAGCAGGAAGAGATACTTCTGGGTAAGAAGGCGGAGGTGCGAGATTCCTGTTCAACAGCTCCGTTCGGATCTCGGATGTCAGGATATCACCGGATAAAACTGGCACAAGAAATGGCTGGTGCATCATCAGCTGCTCTTGCAGATCTCGTGGAGCCTTGTTAGCATGACTGAAGAGGACAATGAAGGAGCAAAATAGGTCATAAGATGCACCCCAGATTTAGGGGTGACCTAACGTGCATCGCGTCCTTGGACAGATTAATCAGGGGTCTCAGACCCACTCCCTGGGTTTTGTTCCAACCTGAGCTGGCAATTATAAACAATGAAGTATTCTGTTTGACGGATACAGGTTGTTGCTTAAGTTCTTTGACAGTCAATTCTTCACGCAGGTCAGCTCATTATCGGTACAGCTACCCGCGAATCACCTGGGAGCCACGTTAGGAGTGCTGCAATTAATCAATCAATTAGTGAGACCCAGCGTGTAACCCGGAGGTCAGGCTGATGAGCACGCACAGCTCGCCGACTGTCAGCCGAAGGGAAGTGCAAAGGCAAGGTAGGACAGGAAACGGGTTCTCGCTTCTCACGAAGCGTCAGCGCTGATCCCCAAATAATAAAGACAGCGCACGAGACTGCGCGCACGTTCTTCGAGGCTCAGAGACCTGGGACCTGGGGTAGTGAGACAGCGCACCTGGGGTTCGGAGACAGCTTCCTGTCACTGCAAACCAGGTTTCACGAACGAGCCAAGATTTACTGCGCTGTCGCTCGGGGCAACGGGCCTCAAAGACACGAACGTAGCCCCCGGCGCGGCGGAGAGCACTTCCTGTTACTCATCGCAGAGACAGTCGCACATCTGCTGTGGGCAGGAGCCCGCAACCAGAATCGGCTCGCAACCAGAGACAGAGGCAGCATCTGGCGCTCCGTGACGCTGCATGTGAGACAAGCAGAGGTTGCTCCCGCGCTGAACGGTGGAAAGAAGGAGTCAATGCCTTGGCTGTTGAGCCTTCTTCAGGTGTGAGGAAGAGAGGAAGTAGGAGGAGGACACTGTGCATTCGATTTGCCCCGATACCGTCTCAGTGTGGACACACCAGGACAGAAAAGACCCCCAGTGCACAGCAGTTGAATCCGCTCCAGGTTTTAATAAGACCCCTATTCTTCAGGACAGCGATCTAGACAGCAGGGCCCTGCAGCTGCTAGTAAAACCCGGAATGGATCACACTGCTGTGGAACGGCGGCCTGAACTTTTTCCTTTTCCTGGCGTGGATGCGTGCATAACTCTTCCTTCACCGCCGAACCACATCTCCCCGCACGCGGGGGACGCCCCAGAGAGCCGGAAACAATTCACCGCCTCTCTCCCGCCTCCCGGAAGGGCGCAGGGTCACCGCTCCGCGGGGCGCCGGGCCGACAGCCCCGAGGCGAGCTGCCCCGGGTTCAGGGGGGGCTTTCCTGCCCTGCCGGTGCCCTGTCCTTCCCCGCGGGGCCGCCAGCGCCGAGTCGCCCCCCCGTTTCCGTGTGGGAGAATCCGCAGGGCTCCTGTAAACACAGGCTCTGCGCGCAGCCTGTCATTACCGCGGACACACCCGGCTCCCTGACCACACTGCCCAGCCCCGGGGCTGCGCCGCGGAGGGGGGGGTGGGGGAGATGGCCCTGGTCTCCGTTCCATCATGATGCTGCGGGAGACGGGAAAACCAGACATGCCCGGACTCTGGGGTGACCCAACTCTCAACCCAGCGGTCGCCCCCCCCCCGTAAAAACTGCCCGGGATTCATTGGCCCCCCTGGCAGCCGGAGGATCCGTGAATCCGCAGGGACCCGGGCTGCGCCGGCGGAGCTATCTCCAGGGAGAGCCGGGGGCAGGAATGCGCCGCTGACGTCACCGGGCCCCGCCGGCCTTGGAGGCTCCGCGCGGGAGCGGGCGGGGGAGTCGGACCCGCGCCTCGCGGGAGAGGCGCTGCGATAAGGAGGAGGAGGAGGAGGGTCTGCTCTGCCTCGCTGCTCAAGGACAGCCGTCTGAAGAGGCCGGCTCTGGGGTCACCCCGGGACAGCCTGGTGTGACTGCACGAAGACGCCCCAGGGTGACACCCCCTCCGGAGGCAGGCCTCGGCACAGCAGTGACTGCGCCCCCTGCTGGCCTGCCAGGCGCTCCTGACGCAGAGGTCATGCCAAGCGAGGCGCCAACCCCCCCAAGCATGACACCGGGCATGCACCAACACCATGAGTCTCAGATCAGACAGGTCCAGAGTCCGTCTCTCTGATGGATTCCGGGTGTAAACAAAGCCACGCACTACAGCAACCTGCAGCAGAACTGGAGAGAGCTCAAGGTGATGAGGATGAGGATGATGGGGTGTTACTGTGAAGATACAGAGGAGCTGGACTGAGTGTCTCTACAGTTACTCTACAGGTCTGAGGATGATGATGGGGTGTTACTGTGAAGATACAGAGGAGCTGGGTACTCTACAGGTCTGAGGATGATGATGATGGGGTGTTACTGTGAAGATACAGAGGAGCTGGACTGAGTGTCTCTACAGTTACTCTACAGGTCTGAGGATGATGATGATGGAGTGTTAATGGGAAGATACAGAGGAGCTGGACTGAGTGTCTCTACAGTTACTCTACAGGTCTGAGGATGATGATGATGGGGTGTTACTGTGAAGATACAGAGGAGCTGGACTGAGTGTCTCTGATCTGAGGACAAGGATAATAATTTTATAGGTCAAACATTTTCCTCTCACAAATGTCATCTTCCTCTTATGACACTTACCCTCTCCAGGGTAACCTGACCTTCGTGTGGTTCACACTTGGTAAAAAGAAACTCAAGAGTCTCTGGTTGTGAGGAAGGGCTGATGTTCAGGTCTTGGACTGACAGAGGTCTGCACTTCCTCCTGTCCCAGTTTTAAAACCACAAGCAGTCAAGCTGAACTAAAAAAAGCTGCACGAAGCAGCTGCCTTCCTCACATTGATTTCTCCTCTCTCAACAGCAGTCGCCTCTCTCTCTCTCGGTTTCTTTTCTTCAGAAACACCCACTTCCTCGTACTTCTGTGTCACTGCTTCTCTGGAAGCAGTGATTGATAACCAGCCTGACTCGCGCCTCTGTGACATTTACCATTTACGGGCGGGAGCTGCCCGTGGGAGGTGGAACACCACCTGGCATAAAACAGAGCACGCACAAACACACTGGTGCACCGGTGGTACTGCCCAGGACCGGCCTGCGGGTGTCAGTCCACACATCCCAATGAGTGCCTTTGCAAAAAGAGGGTGGCTTGGCCGTGTGGCTCAGACCGAGGGGTACCCCAGCCCCAGACACTGCCCCCCTGTGGCTCAGACCGAGGGGTACCCCAGCCCCAGACACTGCCCCCCTGTGGCTCAGACCGAGGGGTACCCCAGCCCCAAACACTGCCCCCCCTGTGGCTCAGACTGAGGGGTACCCC